CCGAGGTTCTGGGTGCCGCCCTACACCGGCCCCGCCCCGCCTCGGCCCCGCCCCTCCCGCTCACTCATCCCGTCGAGGTTCTTGTTCCTTCGCTGGTTCGTAGACCAAGTCTGGAAGAGCTGTTTGAATGCGGCGGACTCGGCGCCGTCGTTCACCACCTCCACGTTGGTGTAGGTCGGATAGCCTTTGGCCTGGATGAAGGCCTGGGGCGGGGGCTCTGTCAGGCGCGCGGCCCGGAGCCCAATTCTCTGCTCCACCTGCAGGGACCTGTGGCTCTGCCAAGCCCTGAGCAGCATTAATTAACCGAGCTCATGACCCGCTTAAGAAGCTGGCTCCTTCACTACCAACTTCTCTGAGGTCCCTGAGGACAGGCAAGGTCCCCTTAGTCTGAGCCGCGGGAAGGGCGGGCGTGACAACACCCCCAGGCCCCAGGCAGAGACCTCCCTGTCTTCCCTCCTCGAAAGGGAGGAGGCGCCCAGTACGATATGCTTCTCAGACCCGCAAGGCAGGCCCACGTTCCCCTTTTACACGCGGTTTCTTGGGTGCTCTCTGGTCACCCGCTCCCCCAACCGCTGTCAGGGCTCCCCCGGCAGGCTGCATGCCCCTGGTACCCGAGAGGGGCCCTGTGTTCTCCCCCAGACCCCTGGGCAGAACTGTGTCTCCATCCTCAGATGGGGCGCTTTGTCTCCAGGCTTAGACCCCAGGGCAAAGTCATGTCCTCCTCTATCAGACAGGTTCCCAGGACAGGATGTATCCATCTCCTGGCCCAAGGGCAGGACTACCTCCCCTGAAGACCCGGGGAACGTGGATGTCTCCTAACTTAGATTTCAGGGTACCGCCATTTCTATCCTCACACCCCAGGGCAGGGCTCCACCCGCCCCTTCAAAGGCAGCTCCCTTTGAGACAGGGCCCAACAGCTTCACCAGAGCTCGGCTGAAGGCAGCCTTTTTCTCTTGGAGGCCGGACATGCGTCCCTGCCACACGTAGATCTTGAAACCACCCTGGTCCAGGATGTAGTAGTCCTGGGAGCAAGAAGGGGACTGGTCAGGAGGTGGTCCAGACTGGGCTGGGGTTGTGGGTGGGTGGGGATGGATGAGGTGGCTGGGGCCAGGCCTGCCTCACCTCCTCCTGCAGTAGGTCTTGGGTTAGTGGGCAGGTCGCCAACTCCTGGATCACTAAGTCCTCATCCTTCTCACAAACGCTGGGGGATAGGCAACCAGATGTAGGCAGCTCAGCCCCTCTCTGGCCTGGCTCCGCTCCAGCTTCCTCTAGTCCTCCCCCAAAGACAGACGGCATGGAATCTAGGGCCCTGAGCTGCAGTCTTGACATCACTGCAGCCTTGCTGTGGAGCCTGAGGCAGCTCCCTGGCCCTCCAGTGCCTCAGTTGCCCTATCTGTACAATGGGTTTCTCAGAAAGGCAGCCATGCAAGAGTACAGGCTGGGCCCAAAGCCCTATATGGCTTGCTCCAGCAACCCAGGGGACTTTCCTGGAGAGCTTGCCAGAGACACTGTGTTACTGCAGTAACGATAGACATGCAGGCCCAGGCTACCCCACCCACCCGGCCCACTCCCAAGGTCTGCTCACTGGTAGAGGCGGACACTGGCCTTCTGCAGCTGGCTAATACTCTTGGTGGGCATGGTGGCATGCAGGTTGCCCACTCTGCAGCCCAGCACAGCTTCCATGACCTGCATGAGGTCAGTGGCTTCGACCTCGTCATCCACCACACCAATCTGGGCACGACCACTGCGCTCCCTGTCCTGAAGGCTGCAGGTCAGGGCCAGGCCCTGTAGGAGAGGACCTGGCAGTCAGGGCTTCCCCAGCATGCCTCCCCCGCACCGTTCACCGCTCAGATAGTCCATCCCAGATCCTTCCTGTCACAGCTCAGCTCCCAGAGGCTGGAGTCAGAGGGGAGGCGTCATGGTATGCCGGCCTCCAAGGATACCAGTGCAGAGCTGGGCTCAGCTTGCACATAGTAGGTGCTTCTCAGGTTGTAGCGGAGAACCAGGCCCACCTCTTGGGGTGGCTGGAGGGTGGGCACCTGGAGGATCACCCTTCTCCCTGAACCCTGCATCCCTTACTTCCCAGGGTAGACACTGACCCGCGCCTTCTCAGAAATGCTGGCCTCGGGCCCATTCCACTGGATCATCACCTTGCCCAGGTCCAGCAGGAAGATGTCACCCTTATTAAAGCTGTTCCAAGAGAGCTCCACCTGCCAGAGTCAGGAGGGGCAGGGCAGGAAACAGGGTGTCATACCATCAGGGCCCAGGGGGAGGGGTTCCACGCCTATCTCTGCCTACGTGAGCACAGTCCACGTGTGTGCACGATGCTGTGGGCAACTGCGTATCTGTGTGACCAGTGTTGTGGTGTGCAAGCGTGCATCCGTGCGACCATATGAGACCTTGAAGGTCACCCTGTGGGGGTAGCTGTGTGCATCTGTAGGCACGTGTGACTTTGGGTAATGCTGCATTTCACAGGGTGGACGTGATTAATGCATGTTGATAGCTGCATATGTGTACACCTACATGTGTATACAAGTGGGTGTATGTATCTATCCGCGTGTGTAGGTGTGTGTGTGTGCATGCTCATGTGTAGGGGGCACATCCAATGTGAACAAGTGTGTGAGCGCATGGGTGACGATGTAGATGTGCCTGAGGCGGGGGGCAGTGTGTTGTCAGTGGAAAAGGACAGTTAGCATCCAGAGACACTTTGAGGGGCAAGAGGACGGACTCTACATAATTATGCCAATATGGCAGGCAGAACCTGGGGCTGCATGTTGTCCCTGTGTGACCAGGGATGTAGGGTCACTGCCTCTGTGAGGACAGTGGGTGAGCCCGTGTGGGATTGTCACAGGGCTGCTATATGCCATATAGGCAGTAATGTGCACAATCAGGTGTCACCATTCACATCGCAGACATCAAACACCCGGATGTTCATGATACCAAATCCCTGCCAGGTGGCAGCAACGTGTTGTGTTCTAACAAGATTGGTATTTCCCATTACTTTCCGACAGATGGAAGTAAGGGGCACTCTGCAGACTAGAGTGGGGCTCGGGGGACCGATGGGAGACAGTGTGTGTGCCTACGGGTGATAGGGATGATGTGTATGAAGAGTGTGGGGCTGTGCAGCCCCCACCCCACATCGTGCTACTTCCCACTGTGTGGACCACGAGGACCATCCGGGTGCACCATTTTGTCCTCCTCACCCCTCCAAGTTCTTCCTGTGCCATGGGGTGGATGAGAAAACAGGGTGAGAGGCGCCCCGTGGTGGGGTGGGGCTAGGAGCCTGGCTCCGCCTCTTCTCTCCTCATTCAAGAGAGGCCATCTGGGAGTGCTGACAGCCCATGGTCCCCCCTGCCCACCTCCACCCTCCACACTTCCCGATAGGGCGGTCCCCACAGTCCGGCCTGAGCCTGGCGATGGAGCGGCATCCCCGGCAGCCCTCACCTCGGTGGCGGACACGTGCTTCCTCCCTTGGATGCGCAGCAGTCGCTGGATGTTGTACACGTTGGTCTCCACATGCCTGAGGGCAGAGGCCAGGCCTCCTTTCCTATAGCTGAGGAGGGAACGGGCTCTCCTGGAAGACCACACATTGCTGTGTGCAGGCGTTAGCGCAGACGTGCGCACACACGTGGGGAGACGCATGAGTCTGTGTACAAGCGGGGGCATATGGGGATCTGTCCGTGCAATACAGACGTGAGTGCGTGGAGGCTGAGCAACAGCATACACGTGGGCACACAAACACATATATATGTAGGTGTGCCCACCTACTGGCCCATCCTATAGGAGTGGTGTGTTTTCCGCACGTGTGTGTATAAATACGCTCCTGTCTATGCCATATGCATGTGTGAGGCTTAACTGTATGAAACAGCAATGATCAAATACTGGCGTTTTCCTACGGTTTAACCTAATATATTGCAATTGTTAATTTAGTCTATAGTTGAAGCAATTTACAGCCAAAGACGTATTTCTACTGGGCACAGTAACATAAAGGCAAACTCAAAACAACATTGGTATCCACTCCCGGGTATACACCCAAGAGAAGTGAAAAACACGTCTGCACAAAAGCTTGTAGATAAGATGGGTGTTTGCTAAACTTAGGGTGGTGATCTGGTCACAATACTTGTAAGTCACACCATCATGCTGTACCCCTCAAACTATACAGTGATGTATGTCAATTATCTCAATAAAACTGGAAAACAAACCCACCCCAAAACATGTATACAAATGTTCATAACAGCATTATCCATAACAGCCCCAAAGTGAAAGCAATCCAAATATCCCATAAGTGATAAATCCATAAATAAAATGTGTTCTATCCCCACATCATGTGCTGTATAATTCCATTTATAAAAATGTCCAGAATAGGCAAATCTATACAGACCGAGGAAAGAAAATGTTGGGGGGAAATGGGGAGCGTTGTGAAGGGTATGGGATTTCTTTTTGGGGTGACGGAGGTGTTCTAAAACTGTGCTCATGGTTGCACAAGTCTGTGGCTAGACTAGAGGTCACTGAATTTATACTCTAAATGGGCCGGTTGTATGGTATGAGATTTGTAAGTGGGGGGGGACGTCTCCCCCTACCCCAGCACCCCCACGAGAAGAGAGTCACCCCAGCCTCCCAGAGACCCCGCCCCGCCCCCGCGCACTCACATGATGCCCCTGCGGAAGTAGCTGCGGAAGCAGTCGGACTCGTGGCCCTGCGCCTCCCGGTGCTGCACGGTGGCGGCGCCCAGTGCCTCCTGCACGTGCTGCACGAAGGCGCCTGCCGCGCCCTGAGCCTCCGCGCCCGCCTCCTTCCCGACCCAGTAGTGCAGGTCGCTGGGCGCCCCCTGCACGGCCTTCAGGCTCTGGGGAACCTAGGGCCCAGGTGTTTGTGTGTGGAGGAGGGTGGGGGCTTGCAGAGGACCCAGGGGTGGGGTGGACACAGATCCAGGAGGCACCGAGGGCCTTGGGGGGATTGGGCAGGTGCCTCCCCGGACAGGAGGTCCAGAATGGGGAGGGAAGGGCGAAGAGGCCTTAAAGGCGGCAGCCCCCTGGTGGGGTGGACTCCAGGGCTGCCAGCCTGCCTCTGCCCAGGACAGGGCCTAGTCTGCATCATCAGACTCCCCAGCTGGGCCAAGCCACCCCTGGGGCAGAGTCCCACATGCTCACGTGGAGGACGATGTAGCAGTGATCCTCGAAGAAGTTCCCATAAGCCCTTTCGGGGACTGGCACCATCCTCAGGTTCTGGGAGAGGAGGGTGCCTATGACAACGCAGCAGGACCACCTGCCCACCCATGACCTTCTGGGATGGGGAGGAGGGAGGGAGGGAGCTCTGAGTTGGTGGGGGGAGGGAGAAGCCCAGTCTCAGAGATTGAACTCTTTGTCACCAACCCTGCTGTCTGGTTGTGCCCCTCACCTCAATGTAGGAGAGGACCGGGCATGATCATTGAGGACCTACCTCAATGATCCATATGTGGAGGTCCCTGTGGCTCTCAGTGGCTGGGAGGCCCTTGCCGATGTCCATCCTAGGCCAGGTGGGAATGAGGGAGGAAACAACAAACAAGAGCCAGGGTTCTCAGGCCCCGGCCACCTGTGCTCTGGGCTCCAAGCAAGAACTCTCCCCAGCTGCAGCTCTCCAAAGCACTGTCATCATAGAATATGCCTTTCACTAGGAGGGCTCCATACATACCCAGATGCTAGCAAACCAGGCCAGGTACTGCAGACGTCGGCACAGAGACTTTGCAAACAGGGACCTGGTTTGTTGTCTGTGGTTGTGCTCTTGAAACAGGGCCCAGCTCTGTGGGCAGGGATGGGTTTTGAACATAGGGACCTCTGCAAAGAGGGAGTTAGAAACAGGCTATGCAGACAAAGATCTGCAGCCCGGGATGGCCACTGGAGAGTGACAGGTTCTGCAGACAGGCAAAGGTTCTGCTAGTAAAAGAACAGATTTGGCAGCCAGGGAAAGGCTCTGCAAACAGGCTCTCGAAATGAGACAGAGACACTGCAGAGGAAACAGGGTCTGCTGATAGGGATAGGGACAGGTACTATAAACAAAGCTTTGCAAGCAGGAACAGTGTCTTTAGGCAGAAAGAGGTATCCCAGACAAGGACACAGACAAACTCCAGAGACAGGGATAGGTTCTACACGCAGGGCAGCTTCTGCCATAAAAGCAAATCTAATACACAGGGAAATAGGGACAGACCATTTAAAAAGACGGTTCTGAGGGCGCCTGGGTGGCTCAGGTGGTTAAGCGTCTGCCTTCAGCTCAGGTCACGATCTCAGGGTCCTGGGATCGAGCCCCGCGTCCAGCTCCCCCGCTCAGCAGGGAGTCTGCTTGTCCCTCTTCTCCCTGCTCCCCCTCTTTCTTTCTATCAAATAAATAACATCTTAAAAAAAAAAAAAGACAAGTTCTGAAAAAAAGACCCTGAAAAGAGCCTCTAGACACAGGCTCAGAGAGAAACAGACAGGAGGAAGTTTCTGCGAACTCAGGACAGACTGCACACAAGCATGGTCTCTGAAGACTGTGATGGAGTCTGAAGCAAGCAACAGGCTTAGCTAACCTGAGAGGGCTGGGTGAATCAAGCATAGGCACTCTTAAATTCTTGAAACAGAGCTGAACTCTCAATACAAACAGGCCCTATGAACAGCCACAGGCTCTGCAAACAGTGACTTCGCTCCCTTAGCTCCTGCAGTGCCCTGTGGTTCTGAGTGTGCGTAGGAGAGCAGCATGGAATGAGAGGTATCTGGGGAAGGAAGGGGCTCTCGATCTTATTACATCGCAGATGACTCTCAGCTCCCCCAGGCTTCCCTGTAACACGCCTTCAGAAACCTCTGTGGGAGTTTTGCTCCTTCCTTCGTCCATGGAAGTTCTTTTTTTTTTTTTTT